GAAGTGCTCGGACCGTCGTGAGCACGCCTCTCACGTTCTCGTCAAAACCCGCTGACATTTCTTGTATATGTATATCTTAGTAATTTTACTATATTTTGATTTGATTTCTTGTGCCATTTCAAGAGAAAACTTCAGGGAAACATGCATGTCTCAAAAAGTTGCGCTGAAATAACTCAATTCCCCGTAATCGCTAATAAACTTTAATGTCCCACGAGAAGGGACATCCGAGTGATATGCTAGAATGACGATGTCCCACGAGAGGGGACAGCGGAGTGCAAAGGGTTAATATTTTCAAATTTGGCGGTTTCAGTTCCGACTTCCGAACATTTCTGGGAGAAATTGTTATACTACTAATTAACAAGTCGAGTGCGGCCTCGCGAACATCTTAGTCAAGGGGACTCCAAAGCATCGGGTGAACTTCGGGAAATTCTCAACATCTGGTAGTAATGTCGCGCTGAGTACAGTAAATTCTTCCTAATTGACCATAATCTTGTACACAAAAATGGACAATTTGGGAAGAGGAAATACGATTATTCGATCCTTTCGTCTCGTTTTTATAGTTACCGATCGTCAACAACTATAAAGACGAGCCGCAAAGCTCCATCAATCGTACCTCCTCTTCCCAAATTGTCCATTTTTGTTTCCAAGTTGAGCGGCAATTAGGGTGAATTTACTCGTATTGTACTACGCGCCCCAAACGTGCAAGTCCCCGCGTACACGACCGTGCCGTAAACGACGGCCAGGGCCAGGCGATTATGACGGGACAATGCAGCTAAATTCAAAGAGTGTTGGTTACGTGTCTTGGGACTATCAGAAATGCCGTTTTCCGAAGGCCCACAAAAAGTGAGAGGCCCCGTGACAGGCCCACACCATAGCCATTTAAGACCCCAAGCACATAAAAAGAATACCCCGTCATAAAAAACCTGTCTAAGCAATCCTCAACATACCGCCTACCTTGAGCTAATCTAGTTCAATCGCAGTAAATTAAACTAATATATTCCGCAAATAACGCAAAACGCAATAAAACAAGGAACTGCGACTAAAACAAGCTAATTTACAATACATAAATAACGCAACACAACTTACTAGAGACAATACGAGGCAACTAATTTGTGAAACTAATATGTTCAACAAAAGAACGCAAACCGAAATAAGACGAAGGATGAATTGTGACCGAAATAAATTAATTTGCAATATACAAATAACGCATTATAACCTACTGGATAGAATACAAGACAACTAATGTGTAAACCTAATATCTCACAAATCAAGTGACAAAACACTGAGAAAGAAAAATAACAATTTGCACTAAAATGTAAGACGATAAACACATCTATGGTACGTTGAAAATGAATGACTATAACTAATGCGACATAAACTGAATCTACAAGCAAAGGTATATCTTAATCGCGCAACCAAACTATAGTACATTTGATGAATTTTCTAACTCTAAATGTCCTTGCACGTCAGATAATAAACAGATTTTAGTAACCGGGTCTCTTCAAAATTCCCTTGGTCGTAAAGAAGAGATACCACCCTGGTTATCCCATTCTGGTCCGGATGCAACTCCAAGACGCGCACCAAAGACCACTTCATCGGAGGAAGGTTGTCCTCTTTGAGCAGGACCACAGTGACAACCTTTGGGGCATCAGGAGATCCGAGCTTCCGTTTGTATCGCTGCTGCAACCCATGCAAATAATCACGCTGCCATCGCTTCTAGAAATGTTGTATTATTTGTTGCAGCAACTGGAATTTACTCAGACGATTTTGCCGAATATCTGTGAGATCGGCCCGTGATAATGCCGTCAACGTCTCCTCCATGAGAAAATTACGAAGATAAGTTAAAATCAGAAGGATCTGAAGACATAGGACGGGAATTGAGGCAAGCTTCAGCTTGTGTCAGAATTGTGTACAATTTCTCAAACGCGCGTTTGACTACCATCTGCTTCAGGTGGGTTTTCACGGAGTGAACACCTTGCTCCCACAAACCACCAAAATGACGATATATATTAGGTCTACCGGAAAGTTCTGTCCGATAGTGTCACTTCAAGTTTCAATCCATATGCACATGTTGATTTGAGACATATATGACTATCTCTCTTTATCATTGCATTTACAGACATGTACTCTCTTAAATAAACTGAAACAAAGATGTCTCATGTCATTATTAAGTGAGACGCGATCGTGAAAACATGGCTACCGATGATAATGCCAGACCACATGCTGCTTTGGCGACTCGTCAGAAAATCGCAGAACTAGGCTGGGAAGTTCTGTCACATCCACTATACTCCCCAGACCTAGCACCCGCTGATTATCACTTGTTACTCTCTTTGCAAAACTTTTTACAGGAAAAAAAATTCAAAATTGAAGCTGATGTCAACCGAGCACTAGTTGAGTTCTTCGCCTCTAAAAATAAATCATTTTTAAAAAATGGCATTTACAAGTTGTCATCACGCTGGCAAGAAGTCATAAGTAACGATGGAAAGTATATTCTACAATAAATATTATTAAATGTATGAAAATGGTGTTATATTTCAATTCAAAAACGGACAGAACTTTCCGGTAGACCTAATATATACTATTTGTTATAGATTAAGCGTACTGTTAGACACTTATTATTCACCCGCCTTTACTCACAATATATTTATCTCGATAATCGTCTTTAGCGGGGATCCAATTTATCTTCGATATCAACTTGTATTCAGTTTCTGTTTGATTATTTCAATGCAATGATCTCAGATTTTTGCTTTTTACTTGATCCATTTAAATTGGCAATAAATGGTGTACGATAAATAACTCTGTACAAACAAGTGTATTTGAAATTTTAGTAACACTTCATTTACACTACTGTTATTTTCGTCATCATTTTATTATCTGAAATGCAGGAAACGAAAGTAAAAACATGGGACGTAATTGAAAATAACGTAAATATGGGATGTAATTTTTCCATCTGTTCATAGTAATAGAATGGCTCACTCTAGCATGTTTAGAAACAAATCTATTTATTTAATAATTTCCGCAAAATGTAACATTATTATAATAAAATAAGAAATCTAAAGCGAGTCATTTTGTCCAGTTCGACATACTTTTATTGTTCAGTAACAAATCGATTTTGTTAAAGCTATACAATTTTCTTATTATTCAATAGAAGCGAGAATTGTATATATTTTAGTAATTTATGTAAATATTTTAGTTAGTTATTTTTTAATCGTATATAATTTTTAATTATAAAAAGAAGCTTCAAATATTCTGAAGAATGTTCGTGAATCTAACGTGGTGACACCGTTCGTATCTCTGGTTGTTGAGTCACAATTTCTTGTATTCTTAGCATTTGTACTGAATAAATCACTCGATCTTCTTTTCATCGCCAACTATGGTGAAAGTCTTTCATAAACCCATCCATTGTCCCCCTGATGCACAAGCACATTGTCGATCCTATCGTTCGGTTTGGGTCGTCTAAAACGTATTCTATCGTGCAAGCGATCGCTTTGACCTTGCCAAAATTCTACGGAGTGTGGTATAATAACGTATCCACCCCTGAAAAATAAATAATTTCAGTACATAACGAATTCTCAATACACAAAACCTGAAGTCAACAACGAGCGTTATTTTATTAGCGTTACGGAAAGAAGCATACCCTATTTGTCTCAAATATTTTACGAACACTAGCATGTTTCGTTCATGCTATTGCAATAACTATGTTCCATTCACGAAAGTAACGTTTGGATGTTGCCGACAGTAACTAGCACATTTTGTCATGCAGGAATTAAAGTAATTATCTATAATAATGTTATTCGTAATTATTTGTAATTTATCTACAATATATATTACACGCGCGGTATAACTGTTTTAGCTGATTTTCTTTTCTAGCTGACAGAGGGGCATTACCCAACTACACAATGATTAAAATGCTTTTTTTTAATTTTGCTATTATTCGGAATGACAAAAAGAAAATAAAAAACTCTCCTTTTTCAAGTTTTTTCTTTGAATCTATAACGTAAATTTAAAAAATGCGTTTTACAGATCTTGATGACTTATATGCGTGTTGACTTATATGTACGTTACTCTTTTTTTTCGACTTATTTCTCCATGTAGAATCGTTCCCTGGCCATGTAGAATCAGCCACCCTGTACAGGGTGTCCCAAAAATATGTTTCGCAATCTGGAAATGGGGAGCTCCTGAGGTCGTTTGAAGTAACTGTTTCCTTAGCGAAAATGCAATCCGCGGCTTTGTTTACGAGTTATTAACGAAAAACACTGACCAATAAGAGGCGAGCTCGATTGGTGCGAGACGGCCCAGCCAACGAGCGCACGAAGCCCACTTCCGCTTAGTAGAACAGTAGTCGGTTTTCATACTTTTTCATACTTCTTCATTTTATTAGGTCTACCGGAAAGTTCTGTTCGTTTGAGAAAAATAAAAGGAAATAATAGATTTTTCATAAATTTAGTAATATTTATTGTACAATATAATTTCCGTCGTTACTTATGACCTCTTGCCAGCGTGATGGCAATTTGTGAGCAACATATTTCAAAAATATATGTCTCAAATGAATATGTGTATATCTATTGAAATTTGCAATGACATTATCAGACAGAACTTTCCGGTAGACCTAATATATTAGTAGTACATATATTTACATTTTTGTTGAGATAGAATAATGAAAAAAATGCAGTGTTTTAATTGTTTACAAATAAATTTTTTAATTAAATTAAATTGAACATCCTCTCCATTTTCACGTTGCGAACATTGCTCCAACGTTCTGTTCCTCATAGTTGACATAAATAGGTCGAATGTGAGCAAAAGTTTGTATATAATCGAAAAAAATATAATTTCTAATTACTCTCATTAGTTTCAATAGAATGCGAAAAGTTGAAATATTGATATTTTACTCAACCTATTCAAAACATTTCGCGTAACTCGGTAGCCCATAGATTTGTGGCACGTGCCATTTTAGCATTATTATTAGACGATTTCTCCAATAGCAACTAATAGCAGCCAATTTTTGTTTTGTTATTAATGTAAGGCATCGCACTTCAAAATGCGATCAAAGCGAACATTGAACTCAACCGAACTCGTAATGAAAAAATGAAATGAAGAGATACGACATATTCAATTGGACATAACTTAAAAAATATGAGAGATATAAAAGTGTCTTGTGACATAATTCAAGTACATACTATAAGTACATTAAATTCTGTAAATATTATTTATTTCCAAAGAACAAGATAATTATAAACGATAACATGAATTTAGGGTGATCTGAAGCATAGGCTACTTTGAAGCCACGTAGCCGTGTCTAAAATGAACAAAAAAAATAAATAATAAGCTACATGTTTAACTGACTACTAGTGAATAAATTATTCATTATAGGGATACTTTTTACAAAACTGACTTTTTCCCACTTTTTTTATAGAAACCGACCACTGTGCATCGGTGATGTCAAATGAAGTAAATTTAGAAGTTTTGCCGTGGGGTAACCATAGTCGGTCCATCTCTCCTTTTTACACCATGATGCTCGTACAACAGTTACTTCGTCGTTATAATCAAAATGTGCTACTTCTTATAAGAAATCATAAAATGGATCAGTTTTAACTCTTTACCGTCGAGAATGTTTTCTCCATTCTATTTTAGCATATACTGTAACATTATGTAATTCAACCATACTGCTATAACTTGTCACTTTACAACCTATTTAAGACAGTTGAGATTTACAACAATTGTTTTGAATACTTGTGGCACTAGTCACGAATGTAACGTAAATCATGCAAGAAACATGATATCTCCAATCGCATCGGAGGCAACTATGTATGCTTTTCTTTGTAAGACAAATGAGACGTGCTTCTTTTCATAACGCACGGCGATTCAATCGTCCTGAATTAATTCAACGAAATCAATTACCAACAGGCCGGTCTTTTCACATGTCCTTCTGGGAATTGAGCTGCCAGTTCTCTTTCTCTCACTATCAGTGTTTGCCTACTTGCAATCACATCACTCTGCTTGCTGGCCATTGATCCTATTTGATTCGAGTACGGTCGGCTTTGAAAGTAACGATCCGAGTCCTGGGCGGATGTCTTTTGCACTCGGCCTTCTACACGGACCTACGCAGTTTTTTACTGATTAGAGAACACAATGATATTAAAAAGCATTCTTGGTTTGCTCTACGGCAATACCGGAACTCTTGCGCATTTTCACTTTTGGACCCGTAGTTTAGAAAACGATCGAAGGATGAGGAGAGAAATTGCTTCGCTCTGTTTGAGCGACGATTCATGCTGAAACAAGATTCACTGCGTATTAAGTGAGTAGTAAAATAATGGAAATAGAAGCCAGCAGTTGAAAACAGTTGTGATTAAACTGCGGATGTTTATGCAAATGCATATGTTTGTAGGGAAGAGATCAATTTATGGGACTTGGACAGAAATTTGTTTTGACATTAGAGGATATTAAAAACATAATTTCTGTTTTGCACATTATCTATTTTTTGCATATGTTCGTCTTATTTCTCCATACAGAATGTCCCAAAATCATGTTACTTCCTAGAAACGAGAGGTTCCTAAGGTTATATCCTGGAAGTAACATGATTTTGGAACACCCTGTATATCATATATATTCGATTGACTAGATTCTAAAACGTTGGGGAACATAGTTACAGTGTGCAATGTTACTCTATTGTAACTATTTATAAGATTTTCAAGAATGAAAATCTTACTGATGATTTGGCTCTTATTGAAGCCGATTTTCGCATTTTACCAGCTGCTATAATGAAATTAGTGTGGGACACATTATCCTTAAAGTGATTCTCAATTAACACAGTATCAAATTTGGTTAACGTTTACAATCACTGGTACAACATGTGTATCATGCGCAGTGTATTCAGAAAAAGTCGCTACGCAAGGAGTGGGGGCAGGCGACGCATGTGCGAGAGTCCCGCAAAATGGCGTGGCGCGTCTACAGGATGGCACCTATTGTATTGTATCTGCAACACTGCGTTGTGTCGTGTCTTGAATAATAATAAGGTCAGAATTGTACAAGAATATTTAGTATACAATTGTCCAAAAGTATTGCATCCTCCTCCTCAATCGCCTGATTTAAATCCAATTGAAAATTTATGAGATCAATCGGACCGCAAAATTCGTACAACACCTACAAAGACAACAACAGAGATAAAACAACGTTTGTTAGACGAATGGAAACGGATTTCGACGGATTATTTAACCCTAGAAAGATAACCATATGACAACGTACGTAAAAGATAACCATACGCTTCAGAGGCGCATGCTTTTCTAAGGCGTCAATTTTATACTAACAATGGATATTTATTTAAGTTAATCTAGTCATTTTAAAAGATTGGCATTATTGTAAAAATAAAATGCATTTATATTATATTTTTTTATATTTTAAGTAATTTTAAACTTAAATCACTAGACCTCTATGAAAAATTAACAAAAATCAACAGTCTTCGCAGGCGCCTCTGCGACGTAGGTTATCTTTCTCGGGTTAAATAAAATCATCTGTAACATGCCCAAGCGATTACATGAAGTAATAAAACAAAAGGGTCAACCGACAAAATATTAATATTATGATAACATGATTAAAAAGATTTTCATTTGATATAAAATTAATGTAATGCATTCGCTGTCCGAATATTTTTGCGACGTTAAATTTTGTCACAATCTTGTTTATCGTTTATTATACAAAAAAAACCATGTGAAATAAATAAACAAAATTTATGTTTCTACTTACTTTAAGAAGTGCTTTATTATATGAGAAAACAATTGATTCAATAATACTATCTTAAACAATAAAAAGGAGCAATAATTCTTGTAACAATATCGTGTCCGAATATTAATTCGAGTCACTGTATATTTCATATTCCAGAATATATTCTGCATTAATTTTGCATAATTCGACATATACATTTTGCATAAACATCCGCAGTCTATTTGTAACAGTTATGACATTTTTTCGGTTCTCAATAACTGTTTCACTCAAATCTAATATGCCAATAACAGTTTGAAATGCTTTTATTTTCGGAACCATTTCGATCTTTAGCACAAGCGTTTGCTTAACACGTTCCGTGCCGAGCTTTTTTTACTCGAATCTTCACATTTTGATATTTTACTAAAACTTGATGTATTACGTGCAATTATTAATTCTCGTACACATAACAACGTAACAAAAACTTATCAACGCCCATTCTTGCGGTGGAAATTGATTCTTCGGTTCTAAATTTCTTGTAAACAATTTGTTCAGTTCACTAAGTAAACATGCAAGCGTGTACCATCGATGGTACACGTGGCACGGAACGTGTTAAAGAGGTAGAAAAACGTGCAGGAGTCCAGATATTATTGTAATTATTATGCAATGATGAAAAGATGGCCTGCGGATTAGCATAAAAGCAAAAAGGGAATACCACTGTCTTCCTGTCTCCCTTGTTAATGTTAACGATGCGGTCCATTATCTGTGACTATTAAGCGGTGACTATTGTAATTCGTATTTTCTTACCACCCGCTTCAACGGTTCCCAGTAGAAGGACACAGCTGCATTCGGATTCTCCGCCTAAGAAGCCAGAATTGACGTAATATTGATCTAATGAAGAGTCAAATTGAAGCAATGAAACCGTTTGTTCAGAAAATCATTCGTCACGTATTTATTAATCCTTGGATTTAGTTTCGTTTATTTAACGTATTTTAGCGTAACTGATATTACAGTATTTCTCTCCATAATTAGCACAAATTCGGTTACGCTGAGTGACAGTTATCGTAGAGACTTAGCAGTTTCTCTATAAATAAAAATATATTTCCGGTATGCTGAGTCACAGTTATGGTAGAGATTATGGTACAGTATTTTATCCAGAACTGACATAATCCCGGTTCTGCCGAGCGACAGTTACGGTAGAGGTACTACAGTTTTTTGTGGTGGATTGAACAAGAAAAGAAACTGAAGTTGAAGACATTCGATAGATATTAAGGACTCGTGCGAGCTCAGTCATTTAAATGAAAAATATTAATATTCCTTAAATTCGGTTCTTTGTCAATCAGACTTTCACTCCCGTGTTCGCCTCGTTCTCCTGATTAATATTAAATCAAACACGATTATAGGGTGCACAACGAGTACACCCGATGCTAAAACTCCGCGATTACAAAATCTCTCGGGTTGCAAGGCCGATTGCGCTAAGCGATGGGATTGATTAGTATCGCTGTTCGTCTAATTAAAGATGAACAGCTGTTTTAATTTTGTAGAATGAATTGAAGCAGTATAAAGCTCTCAATTCGATGGTCGAAGGTTGAAAGACTATCTGAGTAGTAGACTAGCGTGAGCTGGAGTCTATCGTAGTTAACTGAAGCTGAGTTGACTGACTAACTGAATAATAGACTAGCGTGAGCTGGAATCTACTGAAGTTCAAGAGTTGAGTGTAGTAGACTAGCGTGAGCTGGAGTCTGCTGAAGTTGACTGAAGCAGATTGACTGCGATTCAGAACTTGGTTGAAACGGACAGCGCGTGCCTGTTGAAACAAAGTCGCGGACTAGAGACCGAGCGAGAATGACTGAGTTTAACTGACACTGACTGGCCGAAGACAAGACACAAGAATGAATAAGACACAAGAAACCAATGACTAATGACTTATTAATGACTGACGAATGACCAAAAGAAGAATCGGTTTCGAGTTTTTATACCGTTTCGTGGACAGAAGACTAGAAATTGATTGACCAGTGACGCGATGAAAGGGGATGTAAAAGTGACGTAGCACGCAGTGCCGCAGGTAGCAAGAAACACTGGACGGGCGACCGAAGCGGTGCGTGCNGACTAGAAATTGATTGACCAGTGACGCGATGAAAGGGGATGTAAAAGTGACGTAGCACGCAGTGTCGCAGGTAGCAAGAAACCCCGGACGGGCGACCAGACCGGTGCTGCCGATGAGGTGTGCATTATTCGAAAGTGCAGAAATGACTTTATTGCCGGAAAGGAGACGGCTCGAAAAAAATTATAAACTTAGAAACTGCAATAAATAAGGTTATGGCTCTACGAAATTGAAAGCCCAATGAGTGACCTTTTGTTAATTGCACGTCGTTCGTTGAAGGACTGTTAATTTGTCTTGCTGAGCCGAAGATTCCTCGTCAATAAAATGATTTTTAGGGGTAAAAGAAAAAAGGTAATTCGTCCCGGAGAAAGTTAGACGGACGCAGCACGAAAATTCCGTTGAAGGACGGAACAACGATGTAATTACGATTATAATTATTAGGTCTACCGGAAAGTTCTGTCTGATAATGTCATTGCAAATTTCAATAGATATGCACATATTCATTTGAGACATATACTTTTGAAAAATGTTGCTCACAAATTGCCATCACGCTGGCAAGAGGTCATAAGTAACGACGGAAATTATATTGTACAATAAATATTACTAAATTTATGAAAAATCTATTATTTCCTTTCATTTCTCAAACGGACAGAACTTTCCGGTAGACTTAATACTTGTGTAATAAATTGAAGTCCTAAACTTTAATCGCTTATAACGCAAGTAATTACGATTGTAATTGTGTTTTTAACGTTCGCCTAGTTCCAACTATACCTCGCAGTAGTGAAGATAAAATTTTGTCAGTTATGATAGAAATCTTTTTGCCAGTTATGGAGATCGTTCTCTGAATCGCCAACGGAAGAACAAGGAAACTCGTCTAGTACGCAGCACGGTTTCGATTGTGAAACATTACATCTTTACGTTTTTAATTTTCACGTAATGACTTATTTTTGTTAAAAATTCGACGTGTTTACAAAAATTCGAATTTTTCAAAAATTGAGGGTGAAATAGCGATTTTGTTTTTGGATTCATGTTTGAGAAGTGGCACTCTACAAGAAAGATCATTCATCGAATATCACAAAATCCAAAAAAAAAAGTTAAAATTTGTTGGACAGCGTTATAGTCGAGAACATTGTAAAAAATCCGATAGCAAATATGACAAAACAGTATACTCTGTCAGAGTCTGTACTTCTTGAGGTTTTTGTAACGTTGTTATAATAAACACGTACGCAACGATTTTCTGGAAAAGTGTTTTCATTGATTCTGTGAAAGAGACACGATGAATATTCTCAAGCTTCGAATTTATATAAAATAGTAAATAGGTAAGTAAATAAGTACAAGAACAGAAAAATGTCCCGTCACAAAATCTGAGAGGAGACACCTTATCGACAAATTCAACTACCTCGAAAATGTTTTCCCAAAATATACACAAATTATACACTTGAAATCATTGTAATGACAAATTTTTGGACATACAGTAAATTCCCCGACATTGTCTCTCAGCTTGGAAACAGAAATGGACAACTTGGGAAGAGGAGAAACGATTATTTGAGCTTCGTGACTTGTTTTCATAGTAGCCGATTTGATCAACAACTATAAGAGCAAGCCGCGAGACTCAAATAATCGTATCCCCTTTTTCTCAGTTGTCCATTTTTCTTCCCAAGCCGAGGGACAATTTGGGAAAATTTATTGTATTCATCTACCATAATATCTTCATAATGAATCGATGAATCTTCTCCAAATTTTACAAACATATAAAGCAAACGTCATTATCTCTTACGTAGCAAATCCACAGTTAACCTTTTAGGCACGACGCGCCACTATAGTGGCTTTCGCGGATGTCATCTTTCAGAACGACACGCGGCTTTCGCGGATGTCATCTCTCTGGACGACGCGCCACTATAGTGGCTTGCTCTAGTAGCTCACTCGCTCATCGTTTGAATCAAATAATTGTCTTCATATGCATTGTTTCACACTTCTTTTGTCTTCACATCGATTTACAACAGTCTACAGGGTATCCCAGAAATGTCTCGCAATCTGGAAATGGCGGGTTCCTCGGATCATTTGAAGCAACTTCTTCCATTACAAAAATTTTCTCCGAGGCACCGTTAACGAGTTATTAACGAAAAACAGTGACCAATAAGAATCGAGTGGCAGCCCAGCCAACCAGCGCACGAAGCCCAGTTCCGCACATTGGCTCGATCGCCTCGCGCCAGTTGAGCTCGCCTCTCATTGGTCACTGTTTTTCGTTAATAACTCGTTAACGGTGCCTCGGAGAAAATTTTTGTAAAGGAAAAAGTTGCTTCAAATGGCCCGAGGAACCCGCCACTTTCGGATTGCGAGACATTTTTGGGACACCCTGTATATACAGTATCAGACTCTGCCATCCAGAGAAATAGCCTCGCGTAGAATTCAGCCGTACCTAAAAGGTTAATAGCGACGAAAGTCTTTGTTACCGCTGGTAGAGGTTACACAATTAATAAATTTTCTTTGTATGCAACTTCAATTTTGCTTAAAAAATTATTTTGCTCTTCATCATTTTCGCTAGTAATACTTGTAATTACATTCCTGTTGACTCAAAGTTTGCGGAAATCATAAACATCAAATATAAAACATCTTCGTAAATAATGAGTACAAACGAAAACGGCAAAATATTTAAGAGACGTTTTATACAAATCAATCACACAACGACTGTGACCTTTCCTTGTGTGCTATAAAGAATTAATAAATTATCAAATCAACGGGATAAGTTCTGTTAATCCTTATAACAGTGAAAATTCCTTGACAGAATACTGTATCAATTGAGAAGCTAGAAAGTAAATTTGAGCAAAGTGCGATCAAGTAAGCGAGTTAACGCAGTCGAAGTTCACCATTTAAAAGGATTTAGAGGATTTAACCAGCAAATATAATTTAACCAGGAAAAAATAAACGCGCGATAAAGAAAATTTCATTTCCAGTAATCATAGCCTTAGCTTTGTAATTGCAGCAATAATGGAGAGCTGAGACTTCTAATTTAAATGAATGTGACATGCTTTAAAAGGGAGGGACATTCTCGGGTAAGTTTGTTTACGCGCGTAGATTTTATGTAAATTTAGCCTTGCACCACTGTAATTACACATGATGGATCGAGTTTGCCTAGAATATAATGTTCGTATAAATTTCTCTGGCTCCGGATCGCGAGAATTTTATAGTGCCTCTTCCACTTACGATAAAATGTACACTTACCAGTTCGCGACCCTTTCTACTTTCGTAGTTCGTATAAAATTTGAATCCTTCGGTACCGAAACCTTTCAGCAATACTGCTCGTACAGACGGCATGCCATCACTGTAAAAATCATGTAAAAATATTTCCGCAAATAGGATGATTGACAAATAAGCGACATAATTCTGTAATTGTAAGGAAGAACGCCATATGTCACGATTTCAACAAATTTTAGTTTATACATTAATCGAGCTGTAGAATATAGGATTTACGTATTTTTTAGAATAAAAGTCATGAAAACAAATTCCGAAAAAAAACAAGGAAACACTAACACAAAGAATTATTGATCAGAACTGCCCCTTTGAGTGCTAGTACGCATACACGGTGTTTCATAATTCGTGGTACATATTGGGTCAGGTAGATTCTATGGCTGCATGGATGGCTTGGAGGAATCAAATTTAAATATCAGTCTACTGCACATGCATTTTGAACAATACCTTGACTGAGAATAATAAACTAAATTCAGCAAAGATACACATATCATTTTTTAGTATCCTGTATTTAATGTATTCTTCTATCGTATCTTGATAGTAAACAAGCCCTAACAATGTATCGTATTAGCGATCTATAATGATTAATATAATATAATATAATATACAAGGTGTCCAAAAAATGTCTCGCAATCCGAAAGTGACGGGTTTCTCGGGTCATTCGAAGCAACTTTTTCCTTTACAAAAATTTTCTCCGAGGCACCGTTAACGAGTTATTAACGAAAAACAATGACCAATGAGAGGCGTGCTCAGCTGGCGCGAGGCGGCCGAGCCAATGAGCGGAACTGGGCTTCGTGCGCTGGTTGGCTGGGCCGCCTCGCGTCAGCCGTACTCGATTCTTATTGGTCACTGTTTTTCGTTAATAACTCGTTAACGGTGCCTCGGAGAAAATTTTTGTAAAGGAAAAAGCTGCTTCAAATGATCTGAGGAACCCGCCATTTCCGGATTGCAAGACATTTTTAGGACACCCTGTATTAATAAATTAGAATCTATAATTAGTCCTAAACCTAATAGCTAACGAGTAATTTCACTTTATTTCTTAAAAATTTTCTTCACGTAATATCAAGTTGGAGATTCAACCTTATCACAGATTTCCGCAGGTCAGCGAAAAGTGAAGAAAATGTTCGAGAAATAAAGTTAAATTACTCGTTAGCTATTAGGCTTTGGGCTAATATAACCTTTTTACTCAGAGTTCGATATTCTTCCATATTTTTATATAAAAAATATAGTATTCTATTAAAAAAAAAATTCGACCTTCAAATCTCCGAAATGCCATCACGTATAAAAAAATAAATACATTACATAATGTACTTCTTCAAACTTTGCAATTTTTGCATACAACATTTTTTCGTGCAACGCATATTTTGGAAGTTATAAAGATTCTCAACAAGTTGCATGGACCATCCTGTATATACGTCCATCAATTGTTCCTGTCTTATACAACTGACATGGAAATGTTGGCGTAAACAATTAAAGGCAAGCAATTAAGGTAGTAATTTGATTGTACCTCAAGGAGGTGTTTCTGACCATAATTCCAAGAGCTCGGCACATGATTCCGTGCCCCGTATTTCCGCGCCTTTCCATACTTCCGTGCCCCGTATTTTTGTGTCTGTCCATATTTCCACTGTGTGCCCCCTATTTCCACCTTGTAGGTATATACTATGCTTCTTGTAATAACATTTCAGATCTGTTTTTCTTTTCTCATAATGTTGTTTTCACAAAGTGAGGTTAGGATTGGTTACTCGGTCCAATACAAGAGGGCACCGAAATACGGACAAGTTCTAAAATCTGATTCCACATCTGGATTTATTTAATCAATATAAAAACATGCACGATTAGTAGATTTTTATTGTTGCAATTATCGTGCTTCTTTTAATAACGTTTCCAATCTGTTTCCTTTTTCTCATAATATTGCTTCGAATGAAACTGAGGTTGGACTCAGGTCAAACTCCTTGCACTTGAAGCCAAATTAACGTAAAATTTAAAATAATTTTTCTGACCCACGGTATTTCCATTTCATATAACCTAGTGCATTTTAAACATACGAAATTGAATTTTGTGATTCGTGCAACAGTTATGCTTTTAACAGTCTTTCAAAATATCAACAAATTCGATTAACACAATTATTTTAAAATGTGAGATAACAATTTTTAATGGCGCCTTGGAGTCGTCACTCGAGTGCAAAGGGTTAAATACAAGAGGGCACTGAAATATGGACATATTGTAAAATCTGATCCTATTTCTGGATTTATATTAAAAATATAAAAATATGCATGATTAGTGTTTTTTACCGTCACTAGTGCTAAATGAAACTATGAAAAAATAAAACTATGAAAAAATAAATGAAACTAACTACGACATGATATGCGTTTTGTACGACGTAAATCACATTAATACCCGACAAATCCGAAAACATGTGACGTTCGGCGTCTTTCCTTGTAACCACACAATTGTTCGATCATTACTTAGTAGCCGTGGCGAGGAACATGGCGTTCGGTTCGAAAATCTGAGGCGTTCTACAGGCTTCTTCGAACCATGCTTCGAACTGTCCGATAGGTTCTTTGCACACCAGTTGATCCTCGGTAAAAGTCTCACTTTTATCTTTATATTTGATTCGCATTCCTGTTAGATGTAAACAAGAGTAATTGAGCATGTGTTTATCAGAAATATTCTACCGTCACAATTTAATGTTCATTCTTTCCTAGCACGTTTTTTTTTTACATAATATGAATGCAACTCAGCACTTTTATGCACAGAATACGCCAATCCAACGAAATCGAGCATAAAAAATTGGACATTCTATCTAAAAGAACAAAGTTGACCTCTGCATCTCCTCTATGCCTCCACTTGCAGAAATGCCATTTATATTACCCGACCAAACCCTGACCTAACCAACCTACGCAAGTGGACAGAGTTCGTGAGACACTCTGTATGTACCCTTCCCTTCAAAAGTATTAGGACACTCGCAAAAAATTAAATAAATTTGAGAAATCGATAGGAAATTGTCAAAATTTCTTCAATTTAATTCAATGTTAATTGTATGAAAGTCTAATAAGTCTAATAATAAAAATAAAGTCAGTCTTATAAAAGAAAATTCAATTTTCTTTTCGTCGACATATCCACCGCGTTTTTTAATTACTACTTGGGCTAACTTCGGCATCCGTTTTATTAGTTTGTCTACTATTTCTGATCCCATTTGACTCCATTCCATAGGTAACAAACACTTCTAACTCAATATGCATACAGTAGCAGACGTATATTTAAGACCACTTGAAAAATGGTATAACTTTTTTCAAAACCGAACTAAATGACTAGAATGTTTTTTAGATGATAGAGAGATCAGCCTATTAGACTATGACTCTAACACTTTTTTAAATTTTGCTATCCCTTGGAATGAGAATAAGAATAAAAAACTTTTTGATCTGGCTCTATAACGAAAATTTAAAAATGGCATTTTGTAGGTTGACCTTGACAGGAACTGTAAGAAAATTGCAGATCGCAAAAATTGCAGTTTTGTTCGGAATTTTGACACTTCTGACCAATAAGTGTGAGAAATCTGCAGTTTTTTAAATCTTTTGCGTGCCTATAACTTACCAAGATCTACAAAATGCATTTTTTTAATTTTCGTAACAGGTTCAGATCAAAAAGTTGAAAAACATGAGTTTCTTAATTTTTTGTCATTCCAAGCAATCGAAAAATTTTTAAAAATTATTAAAGTCATTGTCTAGTAGACTGGTCTCTTTATCATCCAAAAAAAATTCAAGTAATTTAGTCCAATTTTAAAGAAGTTATACTGTTTTTCAAGTGGTCTGAAATATATGTCCGCTAGTGCAGTTCTCACGCGACACGAAGGCACATTTGTGTTTGCATTCCCCCTCTTACTAGCTGCCCCACTGCCGCAGCTACCAGTTACTGCCGTCCGTCGTCCGTCTTCGTCGCTGTTTTCGGCCAATAGGGACCGATAGCTGCGGCAATGGGGCAGCTGGAAAGAGGGGGAATGTAAACACAAAAGTATCTTTTTGTCGCGTGAGGACTATACTTCCGAGAATACGATGCCATAAAACTTAACCCTTAAATGCATATTGTTGCCAATTATCTACATGCCAGTTCCACTTAATTTTATTCAAAAACCTGAGTATGTGCGTCTCCGAACACACGTTGATAACAAGAGACAATAGACCATGTGTGAAATAAAAGACTTGACATTACTTTTGGCGAGTAAGTTATATGTTTTTTGACATTTGAATGTGGTGGGTGATAAGGTTAATAATATAATCCAGGTTGCAAAGGACTGAGTGCATCAAATGCAAGGTTGCTTTGTGTCACAACAAAAATCGCAATTGCATTGCTGCATTTCATTTATAAATAATGTGAAAATTCTGTAAGAAAAACACTTCGAACGACCCCCGGGCTCCTAGCTCGTCACCCTATATCCCGGCTCCTAGCGCGCCACCTATATCCTGTTTTCCGCTTCCGCCCTTTGTTCGTTTCAGGTATCGCAACTTTCACTTCACGACGTGCCTCTACCCAGTTTACATGTGCTTCTTCTCCATCACGGACAGTACATCAATCACGTTCGCTATTACCAAGGATCAGATCTCACATAATCTCTGCCAACAAATTCCTATGCTAATAGATAATATAAATACATGACCATTTGTTTACGTCTACAATAATTTTAGTAACAAACGCATATTGTGTTGCCAAAAGTCTACATACGACTTTTTTTCAAAATAAATACTCGATATTATTACCTAGACTTTTTTATTTATTTTTTATGTAACCTATGACTACATTCCTATAAAAAACGATTTTTTAAAATTCAAAACAAAAAATCATGTACTTAAGGGTTAATACAGTAATGGGACCTACCCCTGCACGCTTTCCTTATTTCCTAAATTGGCGCACACATCCCCACCATTTCACTGCGCGCCCAATCCGCAGTGTATCCTGTCTCAGCAGTGAATCGTCAGCCAATCAGAGCAAAGAAAATTTCTATAACGATCCTCGCTAATGGATTATGCTACGGCCTGGAGGTGTGCAGGAGTAGGATTCATTAATATAATAAACGTAAAACATTAGCTTAACTGAATGAAAAATTACAGTTTATACTAAACCAGCAGGTGTCCTAATACTTTTGGAGGGAGGGGGAGGTGTATATGGATATTCCGTGCCGTGTTTGTATTTTATATTAACAACTTTTAATTAATAATAATTATCTTAAATTGTGTCTGTTCACGTGCACAGGGCTGGGAGAATAAAAATAAAAATCTTTCCTATTTAAGTCTCAAAAATACCATTTGCAGTAACAAAAGCTATTTCAGATTGCAAAGATTAAACACAGTACCGATGAACTGTATTACACTTCAAACAATTCGAAACAATAGAAGTCAAACGAAAGTTGCGATTTAACAATTCAATAGTAACTTGTTTGTGTTAATTTTTGTATTGTTTCATATACTTCGATTAACTACTGATATTACAATTTATTTAAACTATATTCGTTACTTCGAAGTATGAAGTCTTGACCAGCTTTCTAGCGTTTCAAGACACTGCGGCATCGTTTGCACGCACACATGCTTCGCATGCAATACGTGTACTGGAATACACGCGACAAATGCATTAAAAATGACACGAGTCCAAACACGTGCGGTATTAATTAAACGTAAACACGTGAAATAGAGACTTCTAATAGGAAACTAACTCATTCTTCTGGCTTCCATATCGGCGATACACCCGATATAAAATCAATATCCTCATCGGATCGATAAAAACAGGTATGCGAGGTCCGATGAGCCATTGTTACGAGGCAAGGTCCGATGAGCCGCTGCACACTGGTCTGGCAAAGCAGCGACCATGGCCAAAAGTCAATTTTTTTGCAACTTTCAAATCTTGAAGGATTGTTTTTTCTAATGGGTTTACAATCTCCCAAAAGCTTTAAAATCTACAATATTAATTCAGACAATTCTATAACAAGATATAACGTTATAAAGACCGGATGATAAAAATTTAAAGAAACTAATTCTTGAAATGAATTATTATTATACTACGGATTTTTGTGTGCAAAATAAAAATTATCTGCACTAATTGCAAAATACAGAAGCTACAGAAACATTGACTTCTTTTCCTAATAATGTTAACGAGCTGCAAACAATAAAATAAAGCTTTTAAATTCCTTAAATGTTTTTACTGTTTTGCATTCGACCTGTACGTTTTTGCAACAATTACATAAAATCCGCAGTCTAATTATTATAAGGTATCAATATACAAGTTTGTATTATGTTATCATGTTGGTAAATTGGTATATTTTAGTTACTTGTTACTTGAGCCGTTTATTTTGAAAGTGGCATAAGTCACTTTACCGTAATGAAAAGTGGTGATTTTTTAATGTTTATACGAAATTATTTATACTGAGAAAAATATCAGTATCCTGAGATAACAAATACAACTTCTCGAAAGTTAGCATCCATATTTTTAAACGTGTTAAAACGCAAACCCTTAAATATATCGACTTAAAAACAAAGTGACTTATGCCACTTTCAAAATAAACGGCTCACTTGTTACTTTAGTTACTAAATCCATTTTTTATTATATGTATAAACATCGAAATGCATGTAACAGTTTTAACGTTTGGTTTACAGAAAAAATGTTAATAATTGATAAAAAGAAACTTGTTTCATACAAAAGATGATTTCATCGTTATTAAGGGCATATCAATTTTAAGTGCATCTTAAAATCGCACCCTTTGGCTTTATGGTATTCGAAAAATAAAGCTCGAGGTGTATTTCGACGCCTGGACGAGCAGACAAGCTTGTGCAGTAATGGGTCCTACTTCTGCACATCTCCAAGCCGCAGCTTGATTCGTTAGCGAGGATCGATATAGAAAATTTCTTTGCTCTGATTGGCTGACGATTCACTGCTGAGGCAGGATTCACTGCGGATTGGATGTGCAGTGAAATGGTAGTCCTATAATATAATATATATTATGTAATATATAATATATATTATGTATATATATAATATACATATATAAATTCCCATAATATAAAGTGTCTAAAATGAAATAAATAATTTAGATTTTGAGTAAAAATATTTAAATTTAATGAAGGGACGAGAAGACCCTATAGAATTTAATAGGTTTATTATAATTAACATTAATATAATAACAAATTATAATATATTTATTTTATTGGGGAGATATTTAAATTTAAATAACTTTAAAAATGTAGAATCATATTTTTATATGTATAAAGTGAGATTGTTTATTAAAAATAAATAGATGAATTACCTTAGGGATAACAGCATAATATTTTTGGAGAGTTCATATCGATAAAAATGTTTGTGACCTCGATGTTGAATTAAGGATTAGATTAATTGTAGTAGTTTAATTATTGAGTCTGTTCGACTTTCAATATCTTACATGATTTGAGTTCAGATCGGCGTGAGCCAGATCGGTTTCTACCTTTTATATAAATATATAATTATGTACGAAATGACCAATTATATTTATAATATTAATCCATGTATCCATATTCCAAATCAAATCATGATTTTTCACACATTTTCAATAATCTGGCAAAAAGATGCTTCGAACAGAAGTTAGTCAGCATTTACTCTTCTACAAATTGAAATTGAAAAACTTACAGAAAAAAGTTTTCTTCTCATAAGAAATGCTGATCGCCTCGATGTTTTAAACGTTAATTAATTAATATTCTAGCTTGTGTTGAGACACGAATTCAACAACCTACTATAATATAACCTTAAACCTTGAAGCAATGCTAAAATAATTTTGGCCACAGATTGCTGCTTCGTCAGAACACCGTGCGCTGTTACGCACGGAAAATAAATCAGTCTACTACTGTCTTTAGACACGATCGCTGGTCATTTCGCTTCACCTCGCCTCATTTGTAAAACATGTCGGCCTCGAACGATTTCATGGCAATGTACGCGTGTCGACCAACTAGTGTTCAACGAATATTATTTTTATGTATATATTGTTTTTCTTAAATATTTCAATATTAGTGATGGCACTGACGAAGTTAAGTATTAACAACGTCTCGTTGAAATTAATTTAAATTCTTTACTGTTTCGCGATTCATCTTGTTCTTTACGGTTTCGCGATTTTTCGTGTTTTTTTAGCTTTCGCTGTTTTTTGTGTTCTGTCGATTCTGATTGTGTTACATGTTACATTCGTCGTCAGTTCGGTTCTGTTGTGATTGATTACATGTGAAATTGAGTAGTGGCCGTCGAATTTTCTAATCGGTGTGCTGGCGTGTTCGAAATCGTCCTCGTTGGAGGAACGGTCAACTATCGGTAGAAGCAGCGTCTTATTGTCTCGTGTTGGCAAGTTCGTGATTTATTCGTGATGGGCAAACACTCAAGCCAAAGTTGATAAACACTTGACACGCAAAATTGGAACAAATTGTTAATATTATATAAACATTGTTCTGTAGCTTGGAAGCCTTTATGATACTAACATCATAAACATTCGAGAAATGACATGTGTTTAAAGAAAGTACACTGAAAATTGGAATAAATTTCAAGCATCATTTTTGCCAACGAACCGGAAAATTCAGTAAAAATTGTGGACAGTATTTAAATTTAATTTATATTAATATTTATTTTTATTACAATAAGCTGTGAATTTTAGACTTCACTTTTTTTACTTTTGTCCATTGTTCGTAACATTGCGACGCGATAAAAGTAAAGTAACAAGGTTCCCGAAAAAAATAATAGGTTTACGGACGTTTAAGTTCCCCAAGATTTCGTCTTTGTATGCGAATATTTTTCGCTAGAAAATAAGTCATTCGAGAGAGGACGGTTCAAGGCGGAATACCGTGATCACGATTTAATGAGATTATACAGATATTTCGTAATATAAGTGTTAGAAAGCAGGCAAAACATTGAGCCATGAAGTCGAAGCATTTTTATACCATTGATGAGTTCTCTGTATGAAATCATGACCACGGGGCTCTGCATTGGATCTTCATCTTTCGAATGATACATTTCCCATCGAAAAATACCCTCCTATGAGTATGGCCTTGAGCATGGCTTTCAGTCGTCAGCATTCATGATATCGATAATGTAGAGCAAAAATGTAGCAAGTTTAGTTAGAACAGTGCTTTGTAAGATGGCGCCTAAGTAGAACTGTCGACGTGGAATCGAAGATGCAAGCACAGACGAGGTATAGGAGTTGACTGAACCATTAGAACATATACATATATGTAACTGGAGGCAGCACCTGCTAGTGCCGAACATAACCTAGACATAACCAATTTTTAGAAGGTGATATACTCTAATTGGCTAGTACCTGCCCCTTTTTACTGGATGCGAATTGGCTGATGTTTGTGCTCTCTGATTTTTCCAGTGCGTACCGTGGACACTGATCTTTATACTCTTATATATATATATATATAGGTTATAAGGAGGTATACGGTTATTATGTAGTACTAAGGCTTGGCCACAGGTGTCACGCAAGAAGTATTACAATTTACGTGCCTGCGTTTTTTGGATCAATAGAAAAATTGTATACAAGTAAAGAGTCCCGAGACTTTTTTGTTCGAACCTGGGTTAGAGTGAGATAGGTACCAATTAGAGAAGCCAATTAGAGTTTATTTCCTTCTAAAAATTGGGTAATTAGTGGTACAACCGAATAGATATTGATTCTACGTCAGAAAATAAGTCGAAAAAAAAAGAATAACATTGTTTCATTTAAGGCTCCGTTTTCGAGAAAACTGAGTTGGAAGATGCGTGAAGTTTGCGTGGCTTGTAGTATGATGAGAAGTAGAATTGGTATACCATGATCAGATACGTCACTTGATTGCTACTCAATAGTATCATATTTTCAACATAATTTTCCTCGAAAATGGAGCCTTAAATGAAAGAATGTTATTCTCTTTTTCGACTTATTTTTTAACATAGAATCAGCGCCTGTCCGGTTGTACAACCAGTTACATGATACCCTGTTTGATGTAAAATGACATTTCTCACACTCTGCACAAGGATGAAAATAACTTTACGGCAAGTAAAAGCTAACTTTCCTTACTGCTTCAAAATCGTGATGTACTTTGTGATAAGTGCTTTTTTAGCAAATATATTCCTCCTTTTTGTTTCAAATCCCTAATTTCATACGTTCTAAAGAAATGCTGACAGTTACCTTGCATTAATAAGTATGCGATAAATAACAATTTATAATTAAAGTTTGAAAATGTGGACGGGTACGATTGCAACGCCGACAGTCGGGGTGAATTGTAAGAAATTTCTGCGCCTAATTTTCTTCATCTTATAATTTAAATAGGTACTTCTATTTATTAGGTTAGCTAACAAATTTAAAATTGCTATAATTTAATATCATAATCAAGCTTTTAAAATGCCTCGTACAAAAATTTATGAAAGCGTACGAAGATGGCTAGAAATCTTATAGTACAAGCAAAATTAATGAAAAATGAGTCCAATGTCGTGGCTGTGATGACTGGGCACGTAAAGAATGCCGCTCTGTGTTACAATCGACCCGGGGTCGGGGTCGGTTGTAACATTTTATCAGCTTCCCATGTTTTATTAATAACTTGGATATTCCTTAATGCCCAACAAAACCACAGTAACTGAATAACCTACTCTGATAAGTAGGTAAGAGGTTCGTACAATAATTGTCGTTGTAAATACGATAGTTTATGTGTAATAATAACATGTGTTCTAAAATCGAAGTGTTACAACCGTCCTCGGTCTCCCCCACTGCTTATGTTAATAAAAACAGTGACACGCGATGGGAACATTTCTTCTACCAATATGCACGCCGCGTTATACCGAAACCGTATTCCCAAATTATGTACCATGTTACAGAAAGGTCAACTGTATTGCATTTCATAAAGCAATAAAAACACTGGTTTGGTGTGTGGATACGGAAAATCGTCTCCGTCGAACGCGAAACAATTCGGCACCGTATTAGAAAATTCCTTTTATGAATAACTTTTACGAACAATTATGATCAATTATGATCCAAAACTATTATTATTGACGACCCAAATAAAGTTTCCGTTTCTGATAACTATGCATGACCAAAATAGAATTTCCCCTACCGATAATTGTTATTTGAAACAGATTCTTTTACATTTCGCTATTAATAACTTCAACTGTAACAATAAACAGATCTTTGTTGCTTATTTTTTTTATTTCATTATTATATATATCGATAAAATCGATAAAAGTCAAATTGATGTTATAATTTAACGGTTCAATAATAAATTGTTATTGTTAATTTTTATTAATTCATANGAGATATTATATAACGATACCACAATCCATTTAAATTAATATCGGGGATCGAAAATAAAAGTCATTTGAAATATTTTGGTAACAAAAAATAGTATAAT